CCCCCCTCTCTTTTTTCTTTCTTTCTTTCTTCCTCCCTTCTCTCCCTCCCTCTATCTGCCCCGTACCGATGCGAATACATGAACACAAGGATGCATGTACGCTCTCAAATGTTACGCAGAGACGGATTGCTTGAACTTAACTCCTCTGTTAATTCTGTATAAAGCTATTAGGCTGAGTCCTGGGGTCAAGAAAGGAGACAGAGTTACAGTTACTTAACGAACGTCTTAACAATTCTTTCTGGTGATACCATGCCACACCAGAGTCAAATATATTTAAAAGAATACCACAGCCATCTGTAGAGCATCAGCTAGACACTTCACGATGACCTGAGTTCGATTCTTGTGTGGGGAGAATTTTTTTTGTAAAAAAAAAAAAAATAGTATCTCCTCTTTGTTGAGACGGTTGTATCCCTTTTAGTCCGGGTTGGTCTTGACATGCAGGGTTGAAGTACGCCTCCTGAATGATCTAAACTGTGTCGATGAGGCGTCTAATACATACTTTTAAAAAACAAAACACCCCCAATAAAACACAAAAACGCACACAGAAAACAACAACCACAAAAAAAAACAACAACGACAACCGAAACAATATAATTAGAAAAAATACTCTCCTTTTTATTTCTCAAACATGTACACAGTTAGATAGTTAGTGCCCGCGTTCGTTTAGTTTGTTTGTTGATTTTTTTTCTTCTTTTCAAGCCTCCATTTTTTAAACCGAGTTTGTAACTTTGCCATTTGAAAATTCAGCCACTATGTTCGAGTGGTCTTGTCAGTTCCCTCCCATATTTGTGGTTCTTTTGGATTGTTTCTTGCGCTGTGGAAATTTAATTAGCTGGCGTATGTAGTGTAGTGGTTAAACTCCTTTCTTTGTTGTGCACGGGAGACGAGTTCAATTCCCGAGTGCAAAAGTTCTTTTAATGCGTTGTTTTCGTCTGTCTGTTGGGATGTTGTATCCCATTTAGCCCGAGATTGACCTGACTGGCTGGTTTGAAGCATAACGGCTCCCCATTGATTTAAATTGTGTACTGGCGTCTGTGGTGAAGCAGTTACGCGCGTCATTTTCTGCAAAGACGTTGCACGTCCGTCTCAGCCCGGGTTGGCAGCAGCCCTGACACAGGCAGAGTCGAAAGCCGCCTCCATAATGATCTAAAATTATGTCAATTTGGCGTAAAAACGCTAAGATTCATTGAATTGTTCTAAATAGTGTCGATGAGGGCGTAAAACATTTACAAAGTTGACGGTCGTTTACACGTTTCACCGTGCTCCTTACTCGTTTGTGGGTGGTTGGCGTGTGCTCTGATGTGGTTTGCTCCTTCTTTCCCATCATTCATCTGTCGCTCTTATCTCCCCTGCTTCTTCTTTTGTGTTTGTTATATTCTTGTAACACCTCTTATCTTCGTCACTTATATGATCTATTTGTGTTGCAAGTGCTGTAAAAATCCTTACTTAAAAAACAAAAACAAACCCAAAATAAACAAACCCCCCCCCCCAAGAAATACACAACAAACAAAAAACAAAAAAAGCAACTCAGCAACAACCAACCCTCCAGGCAAACAAAGAAGCAAACGAACAAAAAAGCAAACAAACAAACAAACAAACAGACCAAACCAAAAAAAAGCAACAACCGTTGATAAATAAGAAATAATAAACAACATCGAAAAATATCTCCCTGTGTCCCCCCAGGTTGTCCTGGCCAGCACGCCTGACCTGCAGTGTGGCTACTCACGTGACCTGTTCGTGGCCTGGTGTGGCAGCGCCAAGAACAGCATCGTCCTGACCAGCCGGACGTCTCCAGGCACCCTGGGCCGCTGGCTCATCGACAACCCCCAGGACCATGTCGTCCGGCTTGAGGTGGGTTTTCACTGCTTGTTTTTATTGTCGGCGTAAGGCCCTCGGCGGCATTTTGGAGAGAGCAACGGAGCACCAATGGGCATGTCCGGAGTGCAGGGATGTTGCTTCCTGAAACAATGAGCAATGAATTGTCAGCCAGGTGTCTAAATTTCCTAGTCATAGAAAGCAACATATTTTTCAGGAGAGTGGGTTTTCACTGCTTGTTTTTTTTTTATCGTCGGCTAGGTGTCTAAATTTCCTAGTCATTGGAAGCAATATGTTTCTCATGAGAGAGAGAGAGAGAGAAAGAGAAAGAGATAGAGAAAGAGATAGATAGATAGATAGATAGATAGAGAGAGAGAGAGAGAGAGAGAGACCAAACTACTGTTTCAATTCTTTTACAAATTGTTCCTTCCGATATTTCATCTTTTCTTGATTTTTTTTCAACATTTAC